TAAAACAGCCACCCAGCAAGCAGAAAAATGGAAATGATAAAAATCAATGAAGGAGAAAACAGAAAAGCAATAAAGAAATCAATGAATCCAAAAACTAGCTCTTTGAAAAGATCAATAAATTGATAATCTTGTAGCCAGAATGACCAAAGGGGGAGGGGACCAGTACCAGGAATGAAAAGGGGAACTATCAATAAAAACCTCAGATACACAAAAAGATTATGAGACTATCACAAACAATTCTACGCATATAAATTCAACTATTTGGATGGAAAAGATCAACTCCATATAAGATGCAAAAACTACTCAGGAAAAAAGATAACCTGAATAGTTTTATGATCATCATAGAAACTAAATTCATACAATTTTATTTCAAACAACAACCCCCCTGTCTTCAAACCCAGATAGTTTCAAGGGTGAATTTTATTAAACATTTAAGGAAGATATAATACCAATTTGTATATCTTTTCCAGAAAGGAGAAGAGAAGGAAACACTTCCACACTATGAAGCCAACATTATAATATCAAAACCTAACAGAGGTATTACGAGAAGAGTACCAATATCCCTTATCAGTGAAGGCATAAACATTCGCAACTAAATATTAGTGAACTGAATTCAGCAATATATGAAAAGGACATCTCAACCAACTGGGATTTTTTCTGGGATTGAGAGTTTCATTCAACTATAATCAACTAATCTAATTTAATATATTAAGAATGATACTATCACACTTAATAAAATTACAAACCTATTCTTGATTTTAAAAACTTCTAGCAGATTCAGAAAAGAAGGAAACTTCCTTAATCTGATAAATGGTATTTATAAGAACCTACACATACTATTTAATGCCAATCAATAATGAGACAAGAATGTCTACTCTCTTCACTGCAAGTCCTAGTCAGTAAAATGAGAATTAAAAGGCATATAAATGGAGAAGGAAGAAATAAAATTTTAGTTGTACATGGCATATTATTTGAGAAATCCCAAAGAACATTACAAAAAGATGCTAGAATTAGTATAGAAAAGTTGTTGAAAGCAAAGCCAATGTACACCAATCCCATTTCTACTTACTAACAAGTAGAAATTTTAAAAAAAGAATTTAAATTGTATTATTTACAGTAGCACCAAAAAGTAAAAAGAGTAGAAGGAAAAGAAATGCTTAACCATAAATCTAACCAAAAAACTACAAGATTTATATGCTGAAAACTGAAACATTTGAGAAAGGAAACATAAATATAGACCAAGATGCCGTGTTCATGGATTGGAATACTCATTATTGTGTAGACATTCTTCAAATTGATGTATTGATTTAGTGCAACTCCAATAAAAATCCCAACCATATTCCTTAGAGATATAAGTTCACATAATTTTATGTAAAGAAACCAGAACAAAAACAATTTGGAAAGAATACAACAATGCTGGGAGTCTCATGCCATATGATTTCAATAACTACTACGAAACAAATAAGGCAGTATGATATGAGGAAAATGACAGACGCTCACAGAATAGAGTTGAGAAATAAAACTACACAGTCATGCACTGCATTAACAGTGTTTTGTTCAACAACGGACCATATATATAGACAGCAGTCCCAATAGATGATGCAGCAACCTTAGTTCATGTAACACTCAATGTTTGCACAGTGAAATTGCCTAACCATGCGTTCTTCAGAACATAACCCTGTTGTGAAATGATCTGTGACTATATGATAAATTGATTTTTGATAAAAGTAAATCAATTTAGAAACAATCTTTGCAACAAGTGATCTTGGACAAGGACCTACACAGAAAATACCTCAATCTATACCTAATACCCAACACATATATTAAAAAGGATTACATAAACCTGTCAAATCTAAAAAGATAAAAACTTCTAGACGAAAAAAACAGGAGAGAATTGTGGGGTGGGCAAAGAGCTTTTTGATGCAACACCAAAAGCACATTTTATGAAGCTGATGAATTAAACATAATCAAAATGAAACTTTGGCTCCTAGGAAGACACAGTTAAAGAGGATAAAAAGACAAAAGCATATATTGGGAGAAAACATTTGCAAAGTCATATCCAACAGAAAAGTTGGACTCAGAATATGTAAGACACTCTCAAAACTAAAAATGAGTCAACAAATCAACAAAATGAGCAATTAAATTGTATAAGGACAATATGAAATACTGTTGTGCAGAATAATTCAGATCCAAAGGAAAACATATTATATGATCTATTTTTTTCAAAATAAGCGAAACGAAATTATATTGCTTAGGGGGTGAATGACTAGGTGGCTAAATTATAAAGAAAACCAACAAAGAGATTATTATAAAAGTCAGATTACTGGTTACATTGGGGATGGAAATTTAAAGTTTTGATTATAAAGTTCTGACCATAAGGGCAATTCTGTGGTTAGTGAAATGCTGTTTCTTGTAATGTATAGTGGTTAGTTTTATTAAATTCTATATCTGTCTTACATAGTTTAAGTATGCAATACTTAACTAATTTTAAAAGGTTAAAAGAAGAAGGAAAAGCAGATGTGAGTGATCATCCTTTCAAAAAACATCACGTGCTTAGCTTTTTGAGTTCTTTATATATCCTAGAGATTAGTGCTCTATCTGATGTGAGGGGTAAAAATTTGCTCCCAGGATGTGGGCTCTCTGTTCATCTCACAGATTGTTTCTTTTGCTGAGAAGAAACTTTTTAGTTTGAGTCCATCCCATTTATTGATTGTTGGTTTTAATTCTTGCACCACAGGAGTCTTATTAAGGAAGTTGGGGCCTAATCCTACATGATGAAGATTAGGGCCTACTTTTTCTTCTATTAGAGGTAGAGTCTCTAGTCTAATTCCTAGGTCTTTGATCCATTTTGAGTTAAGTTTTGTGCATGGTGAAAGATAAGGGTTGAGTTTCATTTTGATGCATATGGATCGCCAATTTTCTCAGCACCATTTGTTGAAGATACTATCTTTTCTCCAGTTGCATGTTTTTGGCACCTTTGTCTAATAAAAGATAACTGTAATCTTGTGGGTTAGTCTCTATGTCCTCTGTTCTGTACCACTGGTCTGTTTTGGTGCCAATACCATGCTGTTTTGTTTCTATTGCTCTGTAGCATAGTTTAAGGTCTGGTATAGTCATGCCACCTGCTTCACTCTTCTTGCTAAGGATTGCTTTAGCTATTCTGGGTCTCTTATTTTTCCAGATGAATTTCATGATTCCTTTTTCCTATCTCTATGAGGAATGGCATTGGGATTTTGATCGAAATTGCATTAAATCTGTATAGTGCTTTTGGTAGTATGGTCATTTTGATAATATTAATCTGCCTATCGAAGAGCAAGGTAGGTCTTTCCGTCTTCTAAGGTCTTCTTTGATTTCTCTCTTTAGGGATCTGTAGTTTTCATTGTACAGATCTTTCACCTCTTTCTTTCAGTTGATTCCCAAGTATCTTTTTTTTATTTTGAGGCTGTTGTGAATGGGGTAGTTTTCCTCATTTCCTTCTCAGAAGCTTTGTCACTGATATACAGAAATGCCTTTGATTTATGGATGTTGATTTTATATCCTGCTACTTTGATGAATTCATTTACTAGTTCTAGAAGTTTTCTGGTGGAGTTTTTTGGGTCTTTTAGGTATAGAATCATATTGTCAGCAAATAGTGCTAATTTAAGTTCTTCTTTTCCTATTCGTATCTCTTCGATTTCTTTTGTCTAATTGCTCTGGCCAGTGTTTCATGTTTCATGAAATATGTTGAATAGAAGTAGTGAAAAAAGCTAAGCACCAAAAAAAAAAAAAAAAAAAAAAAAAAAAAACCACCAAATAACCCAGTCAACAACTGGGCCACGGAACTGAACAGACACTTCTCAGAAGAGGATATACAATCAATCAACAAACATGAAAAAATGCTCATCATCTCTAGCAATCAGAGAATTACAAATCAAAACTACTCTAAGATATCATCTCACTCCAGGCAGAATGGCAACTATTATGAAGACAAACAACAATAAGTGTTGGAGAGGATGTGGGGGAAAAGGTACACTCAGACATCGCTGGTGGGACTGCAAATTGGTACAGCCAACATGGAAAGCAGTATGGAGATTCCTTGGAAATCTGGGAATGGAACCACCATTTGACCCAGCTATCCCTCTCCTCGGACTATACCTAAAGGACTTAAAAACAGAATACTACAGGGACACGGCTATGTCAATGTTTACAGCAGCAAAATTCACAATAGCTAAACTGTAGAGCCAACCTAGATGTCATTCATGGATGAATGGATAAAAAAAAATGTGGCATATATACACAATGGAATTTTACTCAGCATTAAAAGAAAAAAATCATGGCATTTGCAAGTAAATGGATGGCGTTGGAGAAGATAATGCTAAGTGAAGTTAACCAATTCCAAAACAAACAAACAAACGCCAAATGTTTTCTCTGATATAAGGAGGCTGACTCATAGTGAGGTAGGGAGGGAGAGCATGGGAGAATTAGATGAATTCTAGATAAGGAAGAGGGGTGGAGGGAATGGGAGGGGGCAAGGGATTAGCAAGGGCGGTGGAATGTGATGGACATCATTATCCAAAGTACATGTAAGAAGACTCAAATTGGGTTTCAACATACTTTATATATAAACAGAGATATGCAAAATTATGGTATATATGTGTAATAAGAATTGTAATACAAAAAAAAACCAACAAAGTACATGTATAAAGGCATAAACTGGGGTGAACATACTCTATATACAAAGATATGAAAAACTGTACTCTATACGTGTATAAGAGTTGTAATGCATTCCACTATCGTGTATTTAAAAAATTAAAATCAATAAAACTAAAAAAAATCACGAAATACACATTAAAACTAAAGGGGAAAATATATCAAAGTATTGACAGAAGAGAGTCACTGAAATTGTTATTTCCAAGTTAAGAACAGAAGCTTCCTTCGTTGGTTTAGGAAAATTGGTTCTTTTGAACTAATGTTCAAAATGAAAATGAAAAAGTCACCTAAAAATTGAAGAAGTTACTCACCCTTTGCACCCATGCTCCTCTCTTCCCCAACCACCAATTTGGTTCTAGAAAGAACTTAAGAATAAAGGCAGAAATTTTATTACAGAGATCTGTGCAAGGCAATCTTGGGGGTGGAGCGGGGAAAGAAAGTAATCTAGTTTCCATGTAGACAGAATCCAAAAACCTTCACTGTTTATTTTTCAAACCAATGATAAAAACTTGACCTGTATCAATTTGTAATTGATATTTTCTTTTTCATATGCAAAGACTAATGTGTCTTAGAATGATTATTATTTTTTTTACCTGGTATAAGATGACATGCTTCATATCACTTTGGTGAATTATATTCAAATCATTGATTCTCTATAATAACTACCAAAAAAAAAAAAAAGCCAGCGCATTATTAGTTTAAAATGCTTGTATAAGTTGCATTACTTATTCAACAATTACAATAAAGACATGAAAAATAGGGCTGAGGTTATGGCTCAGCCATAGAGCACTTGCCTCACACATGCGAGGCCCTGGGTTTGATTCTCAGCACCACATAAAAATAAATAAATAAAATGAAGTTATTGTGTTCAACTACAACTACAAAAAAATAGGAAAAAAAGATATTAAAAACAGCTCCAATTATTCTTGTAACTTAGCGAAAATTGAATATTTGTTTACTAATTAATCTACTGTTAAGTTATACATTTCATAAGAGACAATCTAAAATTATGTAATTAAAATAAAATACAAAATATTTTCTTTGTGAATACATTATTTGGATGGGACAAGAACTTTCTCAATTATGTCTCAAAATATAAGTACTTCGATTTACACAATTATCAATGTACCAACTATTTAGATTTATTCATATGTGCTAGTATTTTAGCAGCATGATCTGAAAAGTGAACCCCATGTTATCAGAAACCACATATTTGGCTTATACAGCAGTTCACAATGAATGGCAGTATTTATCATCCATCCCTTTCATCTTCATCCTTGAGTTTTCCATTATTTTCTGTGTTGCTTTTGTGCCATTTTCAGCAATCTTGTAATACTTACTTTTAGGTCTGTAACACAACAGTAAATACTCTAACTTGTAAGGAAAGTTTTGATGGTAAGAATTTTTATTAAAGGCCTTTCCTAGAACCAGCTGCAGTTCTGGATACTGAAGGCAAGATTATTTGAATATGTTCTCCCTAAAATTCAGATGTTGCTAATGAGGTGGTCACAAGAGATAGGACCTCTAAGAGATTAGGCCAAGAGAATCCCTCCTTTAGGACTGGGATTAAAGCCCCTATAAGAGAGGCTTCACAAAGTGTTTGTTTCTCTTGCCTTACCACTTCCTGGAAAGTGTTCCTCTTCCCAGAGGACACAGTTCTCACCTAACAACCAAACCAGTGATTTCTGACTTCCTAACCTTAAGAACTGTGGCAAATAAATTCCTGTTCTTTATAAATTACCCATGCAGTCTCAATTTATTCAGTGATTTCTGACTTCCTAACCTTAAGAACTGTGGCAAATAAATTCCTGTTCTTTATAAATTACCCATGCAGTCTCAATTTATTCAGTGATTTCTGACTTCCTAACCTTAAGAACTGTGGCAAATAAATTCCTGTTCTTTATAAATTACCCATGCAGTCTCAATTTATTCTTTTGTACAGCAGTACAAATGAATGAAGACAATGGAATTCAGTATAACTTGTCCCTTTAACATAGATTTATTCTCATTCACCCCTTCAAAAATCACTGCTTCAACAGATCATTAATAAAAAGCTATAAATGATAACAAAGTATTACTTCATAAATACTGCTTGTCTCCATAAGAATTTCCAGGTCACTTGCTTTTGTTTGTTTTAATAAAACTCTCTCTCTACATCAAGTTAATTTGTAAGGTATTCCATGCCATTTGGACTTTCAGCTCCTGATTACACGTGGGCAACCAACACTTTTGATAACATGGGCTTTATTTTTCAGATCATGCTGTCAAAACAGTGTATATAAACCAGTATAAACGGATAATAAACACTTTGACTTCTACCAATCAAAAAAACAAAACAAAACAAAAATACCCACTATATACATACCCAGAAAGCTCCCTTCCACAAACAAAAACACAGACAAGACAGTCAAATACCTTTAGATTATAAACTTGCTAAAGTCAGTCTATTTCATAATTTCTTTTTATTCATTTCTAACACTTTTGAAATGGCTACTTGCTATGATTTAGATATGGTTTGTCTTCCAGAGGTTCTTGTTAAATGTCCCAGTGTGGCAATGTGAGAAATGATGAAATCTTTAAGAGGTGGGGCCTACTTTGGGTTCCTTAGGTTAATGGAAGAATGATCTCAAAAGGGACTATGGGACTCCTCTCTCTCTCCTGTGAGACATGATCTGTTTTTCCCACACATGTTCACCATGCCCACACACCATAAGGTGATACAGCCAAGGGCAGGCCCCTCACAAGGGCCTGATGCTCCATGCCATTTGGACTTTCAGCTCCCCAAACTGAGCTAATAAACCTCTTCCTTATAAACTTAATCTGTACTTAGGCATTTTGTTATATTAAGAAAAATGTTACGCTAAGTGAAGTTAGCCAATCCCCCCAAAAAACAAATGCCAAATGTCTTCTCTAATACAAGGGGGGTGACTCAAAATGGGATAGGGAGGAAGAAGATTATCTCTAAACAGGGAAGAGAGGTGGGAGGGAGAAGGGGAATTGCATGGATGGTGGAAGGAGACCCTCATCATTATACAAAATACATGTATGAAGATGTAAGGAAAACAAAAAGAATAGCGTTACCTTAGACTAGGTAGAGAGAAGTGATAGGAGAGGAGGGAATGGGGGGATAGGAAGGATAGTAGAATGAAACAGACATTATTATTACTGTGTGTATATATGTGACTGCATGACCAATATGATTCTGCAACCTGTACACTCAGAAAAATGAGAAATTATATCCCATCTGATTCAAATGTATGATATGTCATACTGTCATGTGTAACTAATTAAAACAAATATAAAAAAAAAGAAAAATGGACATGGTAATCCACTACTATTTACCATATATTGGATATAAATACAGAAAATAATTCAAACAAGGTGCCTGTTTCCAGAGACCTAAAGTTATTAAACATGACAGAAGTCAATTAACATAAATGCTTTAAAAGAGAAATTCAAAGTACAATGGGGCTGAGTGCATGCCAGTAATCTCAGAGACCTGGGAAGCAAGAGGATGGCAAGTTTAAGGCTAGTCTTAGCAAGTTAATAAGACCTTGTTTCCAAAACAAACAAAAAGAACAAAAAATAAAAATAAACAGGGCTGAGAATACAGTTTTGTGTTAAAGCACTCAAGGTACAATTTCCAGTACCCTCTCCCCTGACCCAAAAAATACAACGGGCATCTAAAAGACTGATATAGTAATACTGAAGAGACCAAGAAAGGTGATTCAGAGAGATATACCATGTATTAGTTTTCTATTGCTTCATAACAAATTGTCACAAGCTCAGCTTAAAAGTCATTTTTTTTAGTTTGCAGTTCTCTAGGGCAGATATTCAGAGATTGTGTTGCTGGGTTCTTTGCTCGGGGTCTCAAACTGAAATAAAGGTGTTGATAGGCTTTATTCTCACCTGAAGCAATGACTGAAGAAGGATTTGCCTCTAAGATTCATTCAGGCAATATTCAATTCTTTTGGGTTCTAAAATAACCATTTTCCTACCTGACTGTCAGTAAGAGGTCACCTTCTACACCAACAGTCCTTGACATGTGGTTCCCTTCAATGTAAAAGACAAACACAAGAGAATATCCCTCACATCAAATACCTCTAGTATTTCTAATCTCTTGGTCCCCTTGTTTCTAACTCTACGTTCATATATAAAGAGTTCACATGACTAGGGCAGGCCCACCCAAATCTTGCTATTGTAAAACTGGCTATGTCAGATAACATAAATTTATCACATGAATAATATTCATCAAACTATATACTCCCAAAAGTTATACTGTAGACCATTTTAGAATTCTGCCCATCACAGGCTATAGCCAGAACAATGAACAAAGATTGAAAAGAGTTGGGATAAATATAGGCATAACTGATATTCTGGAACCAATCAAGCATGGAAAAACACTGGGAAAATTGTAGTATAAATGAGCTTGCCTTCCCAGGACCAAGAAGAGTACCTGATGCATACTGTTAAGGGAATGAACTAAAGTTAGATCAAATAAACTATCCAGCTCTGAATAAAGAGTTTGTATGTTTAGAGCTACAAGACAAACTAAATTTCTTAAAACTCCAAGCCACTAGATAAAAGTGAGAGGTAACAACCGAGAAGCCAAAAACAATGACAATAAACTAAATTGGACACAAAAGAAAATTGGGTTCTTATGAGATCTCTGCTAAATGGAAGGGACAAAAATTAAATAATTACAAGAGTGTTAGTTGTGCCTCATTGTAATGGAGATGATTTAATTACATGAGCTCTAAGATCCCTTTCCAGTGCTGACTATCCTACAAAATGGAAGCCATGTCCTAGGACTAAAAGTTTTCAAAGGCATTTTGGAAATCTGGTTACTAATTCATATTTTATTCGACATTACTCCATTATTCATATTATTAAAGATAAATACACAGAGCATTGTATACTGAATTCATTTCCATTCTACAAATTTAGAAGAACACAAAATTACATATCAGTAATGGGTCCTATAAGAATAAGAGGAAGCAGGAGTGACATCAGCTCCAGTTTTCTACTCAGAGAAATCCAAGTACAACCAATCACAATGGATTCAAACCTTGGTGAATATAAAGCCAATAAGCCTAACCAGGAGATAAAAGACTAAAGAAAGGTCTACTATTTGCAGCAAGTAAGGAGCCCACTGGAAGTAATTCTCAAGACAGTATCTTTCTGGACAAAGAAAGCAAAGGACTTTTAGGAGAAATTTATACATATTCATAGGTCATGCTTCGGTCTGAGGTGATGCTTCCCACCTTCAAAACAAAACACAACACCCAGAAACAATGGCCTCTGGTTCAATTTAGTATCATGAGAAACAAAGTTTATTCTTGGTCAGCTAAAAAGAGTAAGTCAG